GACATGCACGTCGGCGAATCTTACCCAGCTTCGGGGCTCTCCGGGGAGATAATACCCCTACTGCTGCTCTGCGGGGTCTCCACATGATCACTATGGCAAAAGTGTTTACACGGTTGCTCCTTGAGCTGCTTTTTGGTGGTAGGAGAGGGCAAGACTAGCTCTCTCCCTTCTATATGATCTGGTCTACAGCTAATGGGTTCCAACCTTTGCATGGGTGCCGTGGGAGTTTATATAGGCCTACCCCCCAGGGGTACAATGGTAATCCGGCTGGACGCGGGCCCAGCCGTTAGTGCCCCTGGCCTCCGTCTTCTCTGTCGACCGCTGGGGCCCGCCGACTGGCGGGCCCCGCCGACTGGCCTAGTACGGAGCCGACAGGCCGCGTCCGCCGTGGGCGGGTCTTATCGGCTGCCGGTTACTGTAGTCGTGCTTCTGATGACGCGGGCTTGATCATGAGGTCGTGGCAACAGCCCTGCCGCCTGGCGGGCGACCACTGTTGCCACTCCCCATCACATCTTGATTAATGGCGCATGGGCCCCGGGGGAGGGCTCGGTCGACTCCCCTGGGCCGACTCCCGACGGGTCCGACTGGTGGTTCTCCTGCCGTCTCCCGAGGTCTCACTGACTGGTGGGGCCTGCTGCCTCCAGGCCATACAAACAAGCTGTCGTGGGTGCAGGATTCGGCCCTACGATGCTGATGTCAGGGCCGGTATGGCAACAGTGCCACGCCGCACGGAGATCTTCCAGGGTACGGCGTGCTGAGGTCATGCCTGCCCTTGGTGAGGGGCGGGGGTAGGCCTCGCTGTAGCCACGCCCCTACCTCGTCCCCTTTGATGAGGTCATGGGGTGTGTTGGAGTCGCAGGCCGACTCCCCAAACCGGCTTCTTTGGAAGTCGTCTCTGGGACTCGGCCGTGAGCGGGCAGTCGGCCGCCTTGCCGTCGACTCCTCAGGAGGCGGCTCTTTGTCCTAGGGTCTTGAGGGGCGCAGCCTGCCCCGATGTCTTGAAAGGTTCTGGGACTCGGGTTGGCCTACCCGTGGCCCATTACTCCGATAGGCAGCTTGCCTAATCCGTCCGGATTACTGTGGCCTCCCCCGCCCGGCGCGCTTCCCAAAATTCGAATCCCGTGAAATCCGCAGATGACAGAACAACCCGTCAGACGGAAGATTTTTCCCATATCAACACTCGAAACTTCACAATGAAAGTTCACTCGACAAAACCAAGAATGGATCAAGGCGACTGAACAAGCAGTTGAAGCCATCATGAATGTTCATTCGACCTCTGGGCGAGACATTCTCAAAGCACAAAAGCCAAATCGGAGAGATTATCAACTCCTTCTCCAATCGGACCCTGAACCATTCGGGGGCTAATGATGAAGGAGTGTACCTAGGGTAGGGTCATATACCTGACCTAGACATCCTCCCCTAGGACATCACCCTAAAGCCAGGATCATTCGAAAGGTACCATCATCCACTCGACCAGAGACATTCCACTCGGAAGAATCAATGTCACTCGACCGTCGCAGAAGTCACTCGACGGACAGAAGAGCTAAAGCCACTCTGCATGAGCAACGGTCGAGCATTTACTTATAGGCTTAATTGTCATTTATAGCACTTTAGTGCGGGCGTTACCAGTAACGTTCTCTCTTCAATGTACCTTAAACCCTTTGTGACGTGGGTTGGCTGGGGTCCTGGCGCACTCTATATAAGCCACCCCCCTCCACAGGCACAAGGGTTCGCACCCCCTGTAACACACACGCATATAATCCAGTCGACCGCCTCCGGGCTCCGAGACGTAGGGCTGTTACTTCCTCTGAGAAGGGCCTGAACTCGTAAAACTCTCGTGTACAACTCCTCCATAGCTAAGATCTCGCCTCTACATCCCTACCCCCATTCTACTGTCAGACTTAGAACCACGACAGGTGGCGGTCAGCAGCATACTCCAGTGGTGGCGGTTGCCAGCGGCAAGGCCGGGGATGGCCGGACCGTTGGAGGATTGTTGCCACCCGTCGGGGAAGAAGCACCGGTGGCCTAGGCAATGCGCCTGCCTGAATATTAGAACCCATCGATCGGGGAGCCGGCGGCAGGATATCTCCCGCGGCCGGCGCAATGCCTATTTCCTTTTCGCGTGTGCCGTGCGAGGAACAACGAAGAGGTAAGACAATTCAGCCGAATATGGAGGGTCAGGGCTCTGAATTTGCGGAGGGTTCACGCCAGTGGTTGGGTTGGCCTCTCGATATCGGGCCCGAATTCCTCAGGTGAATGTCTAGGCCATCCAAACACCGGCATTCGGGCCGAACAATGCCAATGCCAAATTCTTGGTCCGAATGTCAACATCCAAACATATTAGAGCTCGGGAGTACACGGCCCTAGGTAAAATAAATATTTCCATCATTTAAAAGTTATAGAAAATAATCGCACAAATTATGGGCAGGTTTTCTTTCTCCGCTCAAAATTTTCGGTAATCGGCCGGTTAGCGGAAATCCCGGTGGCCCTAAAAAAATACTTCTATTGTTTGAAGAAACTAAACATATTTTAACTTAAAGGTCCAAACGTATGTTAAACTAGTGATACCCCGCGCGTTGCTGCGGGATTTTGTAGTAGCAATATGCATCACCAATGTTTATGTATTGAGTAATAGTAGTTAAAATCAAAATGTGATAGTTCCCCAATAAAAAGGTGAATATTGTAACTACATAAAGTTTATTATGCTTGCATGAATAACTCAGTGTTCAACTGTAAAAATAATAACTCGTGAGAGACTATGCAGTGTGCTTGTGGTTTGTGCCCTCTTCTGTAAAATGTGTGGAGATCCGTCATTCCGTTTCTAATGCAATCATCTGTTACAGCCGGGTAAGCATATGCTTTGGGTTGTTTCATAGTATTCTCAATTTCACCAGTGAACAACCTTTAGTAGTGGTGTAGAGGTATCACGTGCCTATTACTTTATTGTGAATGTTGTATTCATCCCCTATATACCAACCATTAGTATTCAACTGCAGAAACTTACTTGGAGGGCAAAGAGTGTACATGATGTGAGAATGACTACTTGCAGTTATTATGTCAAGCATATTTGAAATCTGAAATGTAGCAAGTAGCAATAGCTAACTCAAGAAAATATTCTAGGGAAAGAAGCCTATAGGGGAGTAAAATTCGTGCGATCAGGAATTAGTATTAGAGACTAGAGATGTTTCTTCAGTACAGTACTTAATATGCACTCAAGCAGGTTTGAATAAATGGCATTCGGATAAATTTTTGTACAACAAATCTCAATTCAGTTGCTAAATTATATAAACACAAAGCATGGAGGTCGGCAGAACTCAGTGTTGTTGATTGTAGGCCCTGCCTTGTTTGCAAGATTAATTACGAGGGATGCATACATATGGAATAATAAATGGAGTAAAGAAAACTCACGTGTAGAGAAAAGGCACCTGCCCTGCACATAGATTGACGCCGGAGATTTCAAGCCAGGCCAGTGCATAGTGTGCATGCTTACATCAATTGTGATTCAGTAAAGGCAATGTGGGTGCTTGAGAGGTGAGCTCGTATCTTCATACACAATAGCAGCAACCATTTTGGGTTGGGACATACTGCATCAACGCCAATTGAGCAAAAATGAACACCATATTCTGCACCTCCATCTACATTAGATAGAATGTGGAACCGCAAGTTTGCACATTAAAATTTAAGTTAGCAGTTACCACCACATCGTTCCTTCCCGACCGTCCCGATCGAAAGGGGAGCCAACTCAGTAATCCTGGTGGAACCAACCTCCCCAGTGGCGCTGGAGCTAATTTGTTGGAATGAAAACAATATTTAGGGGAGGACGAAAGGCAAACCAGCACCGTGTCCGAGCCGCTTTAGGCAAGAGGACCAACAGCCATAGCCAGAGGAGCCCACAACAACGGGACCGCTGCTTGAGATAATCCCGAAGAGCCGCCGGAGGGGAGGGATATCGGCGGTCATGCCGAAGCCCGAGTGCCATCGAAGGTGAGGGGGACCGGCGGTCGCGCAGGAACTTGAGAGTAGTGGGAGGCAGGGCGGACCGGCGTTCGTGCTGGAGGCAAAGAGTCATCGGATCCGAGCGTACAGGCAGACACTCAAAGCGGGGATCGCCTCCCAGCCACCACACCCTTCACGGAAGGGATTGGTTTTTTTTCTCTCTCGATGGAGAGAGGGATCGATGGGTTGATACTCGAGGAGTCGAGGGGAAACAACACGCTCGTGTTATATGGACACAAAGCAGAGGGCCCAGGTGAGAGACGAAAGGCCTACTATGGCATAATGGATGGAAGAAGATGGACATGCCCTCGTTTTGTCTTCCAGGTACATTACGTGCAATGCAGCATGGTAGAAATTATTATAGGAAGATTGCATAAAGAAAAAAAAAAGTGACTTCGTATGTGGGGCCTACTTGATGATGTGGATAGAATGCATGTCAAGAGAAATAAGATAGTGGGGATGAACTATTTAGGTATTATAGATACGGTCGCTATACATAGCGCAATCCCTGGCTTGGTGAAATGGCGCTCTGCTACCACGTTGTCGTGGGACCGACTCCCTTCTGGTTCACGATTTAGCATTTTTACGCCAAAAATTGCTGAATTCAAAACCATTTGGAACTTTTTGGACAAAGAAAGCTGAAATTTCCGAGTTTTTCCGGAAACCGGTTCTTCCGGACCATCCAAAAAAAGCCGGTATCAAAAAAAAAAACCTTGCATACCGTACCGAATATACCTGGATATGTTGGATGGAGCGTGCAACCACCAAACAGCCTTCTTGACTTGAATATCCGCACCCACACACACATGGCACGGCACGGACAATATCTCCAGCTCAGCTGCTCCCCTCCCACCGCTCGGCTCGGCTCGGGGTCAATGTCGCTTCCGATCTGCAAACTCTGCTCCTCCTCCTCCTCCGCGGAGTAGCAGACAAGAGACGAGTGGGGGGAGACGCTTCTTTCTAATCGCCGGCCAAATCGAGCTAGCTAGGCGGCCGACGGAGGGATGATGGAGGCGGCCGCGGAAGCTTCGGCGTCGGCGCGGCGCCGGACGCTGGTGCTGGTGAACCTGACGTCCATGCTGGAGAAGGCGGACGAGGTGCTGCTGCCGGCGGTGTACCGGGAGGTGGGCGCCGCGCTGGCCGTCTCCCCCACGGCGCTCGGCTCCCTCACCCTCTGCCGCGCGCTCGTCCAGGCCCTCTCCTTCCCGCTCGCCGCCTACGCCTCCGCGCGCCACGACCGCGCCAGAGTCGTCGCCGTCGGCGCCTTCCTCGGGGCCGCCGCCACCTTCCTCGTCGCCATCTCCCGCACCTACCTCCAGGTTCTCTTTCAGTTTCACTTCTGCCCGCCAAATGGAGGGAGGTTATTATCCCCTCTGTTTTCCATGAAATGAAATTAAACTGCCATGACCGGCCAAGTCAGAGTAACTCTGCACATGCTTCTCTTGCGACGGCGCCGGCCGAAAATTTGCGCCGTTGGTGCCCGCAAGAATTGAACTGAATGGAACTAATTTAATCTGTGGTGCGCAGATGGCCATCTCGCGGGGGCTCAACGGCATCGGCCTCGCGCTGGTCATTCCGGCCATCAACTCGCTGGTCGCCGACTACACGGACGACCACACCAGGGGCGCCGCCTTCGGCTGGCTGCAGATGACCTGCAACCTCGGGTCCATCGTGGGGGGCTCCTTCGGCGTGCTCCTCGCGCCGGTCACCTTCCTCGGCGTCCCCGGCTGGCGGCTCGCGTTCCACATCGTGGGCATCATCAGCGTCGCGCTGGGCCTTCTCATGTGGCTCCTCGCCGCCGACCCGCACTCCAAGTCCAAGAGCGCGGCGTCGGCGAGGGAGGAGGCCCGGGAGCTGCTCCGGGACGCCAGGGCCGTCGTCGCGGTGCCCACGTTCCAGGTCATCGTCGCGCAGGGGGTCGCCGGCCTCATCGCCTGGTCGGGGCTCAACTTCGCCACCATGTGGCTGGAGCTCATGGGGTTCTCGCACTGGGAGACCAGCATCATCACGGGGCTCTACCTGCTCGCCACCGCCCTCGGCGCGCTCTTCGGGGGCGTCGTCGGCGACGCCGTCTCGCGGCGGTTCCCCGACGCCGGCAGGATCGCGCTGGCGCAGATCAGCTCCGCGTCCGCGCTCCCGCTCGGCGCCGTCCTGCTGCTCGGCCTGCCCAACGACCCGTCCACCGGCGCGGCGCACGCGGCCGTGTTCTTCGTCATGGGCTTCGCCATTTCCTGGAACGCCTCGTCCACAAACAAGTCAGTCACAAACCCTTCTTTCTTCCCCAATCAATCCTGCAGCAACAAACATCATCTTACAACAACTACTGTAGTAATACATTGCATTGCTCAGTCTCCAAATCAATGTCTCTTATTTGCAGCCCGATCTTCGCGGAGATCGTGCCGGCCAAGGCGAGGACGACGGTGTACGCGCTGGACAAGTGCTTCGAGTCGGTGTTCGCCTCGTTCGCGCCGCCGGTGGTGGGCATTCTGGCGGAGCGCGTGTTCGGCTACAAGCCGGTGTCTTCCGAGTCGAGCGTGGACATGGACAGGGAGAACGCGGCTGCGTTGGCCAAGGCGATGTACGTGGAGCTGGCGGTGCCCATGGCCATCTGCTCTTTGACCTATGCCCTCCTGTACTGCACTTACCCCCGGGACAGAGACACCGTGAATCTCATGGCGTCAGAGGAAGACGATGGCGGTGAATCAAGTGCGTTTCGTGCCCACCAAGACGAAGAATCCTCCCCTGTCGGTTCCTTGACCCAGAGGCTGATACCCACGACCACGACAGACTAGCAGTTTACAGGTTTTGCATTTTCAAATCGGTTTCGGGTTCGAAAAGGAACAACTCTGCATGACTGGAACTTTTATTTCATTTATATTTATTTATACTAGAGATAAAAGTAATTCAGTCACGTGATGCATCTGACCTTCTCAAAATTCATTCATCTGGCTTGTGACTTCTGTAATCCTTTCCAAAACGTTACACCATAAACATAAATCGGCTGGCAGATCGAACCGCTGCAGGGTTATGAATCTTATTGTGTTGCGCGAGCTTCGATGTTTAAGGCTTGATGTTGTTGGCCCAGCTCCAGGACATTCAAAACAGAAGAACATTTGCCTAGCTAGAGGGAGCTGGTTCAATGCGATGAGATTTGGGCGAATGTATGGTTCCTCACACGTCACACGATGCCTAGCTAGGTGTCTGACTCGGCAATGCGCCGCACGTTGGGCCAACGGATGACCCATGACAAGTCTCACATCCGCACAACTGTGTGAACGTTAGTGCAAGATTATATCTCAATAGATTTTGTGTTCCTAGAGAAACTATGATACTTCATTATTTGTGTACCTTGGCTACTGACAGAATTATGAATGGTTCTTGGATAGCCATCTGACTGTCGCCTAGCACAAAAGTGATTGTATTTTTGTTTGCTATATATATTTTAATACACGACGCTCAAACATACGCACATACACTCAACACTATGAACGCATGCACATACACCCTACCCTTGTGAGCACCTCTAAGAGAGTGAGCCAGCACATCATCTTGAGATTAACAAAGTCGCCGTAAACGCTTTCATAGTCGACGGGAACGTCTCCTCCTACTAAACGCACATCACCGAAAGGCCTAAAATAAATCCAGAAAATGCGAGCTCCAATGTCAAGTCTAGGACTTGAGTGGGCTCAGGATACCATTGTCCTCTTAGCCATCCAACCGCAGGTTGGTTTGCTTCATCCTATTCTAATGTTGTCTATGAGAAATCTTTTTGAAGAAGAAATAATTGGAAATATATTTGCACAATCTTGTAACTCATAAGAGTGTATCTTCAGAAAATTTGTAGGGACCAAATAAATCAATTTAAATAAATTCGTTTGCAAAGAGTACAAGAGAGTTACTTATTTGCAACCTATAAGGGCCCGATTTTTTTTTTTTTTGCAAGCAACGATGTTAAAATTGGTTTCAGTATGAATAACCAATGCACAACACTAATTTTCTCAAGCTACCACATGAATTCTACTTGTCGTGGCTCTATCTGTTCCGTGTACTCCTGCACCTTAATGCACTAAAGCTAGTATAAACTTACCGGCAAAACCCCTTTATAGAACAATCTACAACATGATTGTTGGCGCCATTTGTTATGATTTTTGCATTCTAAATCAAGTGGTTGCCATAGCTCAAACCTTGTAAGCCTAAATTTAGTTCCCTTTCTTTTAGCCACGTCATGTGCTGAAACTAAATAGCATAACATTGTTGCATGTGTTGCACCATGTAGTTAATTAAGATGGAATTGATGCAGTGGTGCAAAAGTTAAGTTTATTAATGTGATTGAGGGACGTACCGGAAGGTGCAGTCAAATATGATGTGGTGGGAAATAAATAGTTTCAAGAAAAGAAATCAGCGGAGGAACACGATGGGGGGTGGGTGGAGGGGAATCGATTGATGAAGAGTTTTGCTAGCATGAAAATGAACCTTACATATGTTTTAAAATAAGTAGTATGTCTATATCTATATCTATAGCAATATAAAAAACATTATTGAGGAAATCGTTAACAGGTAGCTGCTCGGTTGGCTGGCGAGTGATACGTCTCCAACGTCCAACGTATCTATAATTTTTGATTGCTCCATGCTATATTATCTTCTGTTTTAGACATTATTGGGCTTTATTATCCACTTTTATATTATTTTTGGGACTAACCTATTAACCGGAGGCCCAACCTAGAATTCCTGTTTTTTTGCCTATTTTAGGGTTTCGAATAAAAGGAATACCAAACGGAGTCCAAACGGAATGAAACCTTCGGGAACGTGATTTTTGGAACGAACAAGACCCAGGAGACTTGAACCCTACGTCA